AAATAATATGGGTAGGGTCGGAATGATGGAGCGACTCTACTGAAAAAGAGAAATAATATGGGTAGGGTCGGAATGATGACATGATCCTACTAAGCACAACCCTACGCAAATCAAATTTGAGGAGTCACCGAAAAGAAGAATGGAACTACGCAAATCAAATCTGACAGAAAAGACACGGTTCTATGCAACTCAGATATGAGAAAGTAGTTCGGAAAAATCCACGGTACTACACAAATTAAGTATGAAAAGTAGTCCGGAGAGATGCACAGTGCTACACAAATAAGATATGCAAAAAAAGGTAGTCACTGAAAGGATGACACGGTGCTACAAAAATTAAATATGAAAAAGTAGTCACCGGAATGATGGCACGGTGCCACACAAATCAGAAATTGAAAAGTAGTCACCGGAAAGATGGCACGGTGCTACACAAATTAGATATAAGAAAGTAGTCATCGGAATGATGGCACGGTGCTACACAAATTAGATATGAGAAAATAATCACATGAAAGATACACGGTGACCCAACTTTTACTAACATAATTGTTGGCCAAACGGGCGACATATATGAGTAATAACCGCTCGCCGGCAGTGGAAGCTCTTTGATTATTTACCAAGATCATAGAGGCCCCGTGTGAGAAATATAGGAGAAGAATACTATTGAATTGTTGTCGTTTCTACATTATTACATTGAGACCCTATTTATAGACACTAGAATACAATCCTTTACCAAGTAGGATACTATTTACTATTCCTATTTCTATTTGTATTCCTATTCCTATTCTAGTAGGATTGTATAAACCTATTCCTATTCTAATAGGATTGTATAAACCTATTCATGTTCTAACAAAATCATTTTGATGACAGGCTTCATCCAGAACCTTATAGCCAAGCAAAAACATCTTAAAGCTGTTAAATTTGCTTATGCTTTTGTGCTTGCGGACAGTTTCCGGCCAATACCGATTCTGAAAGACGACTTGAAACAAACTATTCAGATTTCTGACAGCCACTGTTATGCAGATGTGTGCTCAGTCAAAGAAAAGGTCTTTAACTACTTATGTCACCATGATTATTTCCCATTAGATAGATCTTTCTTTGTAATGCTTGATCTTCTCTTTTGTGTACAGAATGAGTCCATTGAACAGAGTGTAGCTTCTATTAGAGCTGTTATCAAATGCATTATGGATCACGACCTTCAATCTCAATACCCACCCTCACAGCTTGAAGAGTATATAGAATCTCTCACAAGGCAGAAGACACATGTAACCACATCTATCATTTCTGAGGCTCAGAAACCACAGCAGACTCAGCTGAAGCATATGGAATCAACTAATCCATCTGTTCCTGCTGATACCAAGGCCCTCAGTTATACCTCATCCGTTGGAAAGGCCTCTACTTGCATGTTAGGTCATTCCGATGCTATGACTTCCATCCTTGTGAGCATGGGTGGAAAGAACTTGCAGAGTTTTCTAAACAATCATTGGAAAGAGCAGGGGTTGTTGCGCATTGAAATCTCTAGTGCTCTCAAACTGTCATCTGACTCGGGGATGCTTGTGTTGGAAGCACTTGAAGGATTTTATCCTCCAGAACCTCATAGTGAAGAAATTCTATTGGATCTTAGTGTTATCAGGAAAAGTTGCATCCTTCTACTGGAACAATTAATGATACTCTCACCAAAACTTAAACCAGAAGCCAAATTGGAAGCTCGCAAGCTTGCATTTGACTGGAAAGCAAAGATGAAAACTGAAACAGAAAACCATCTGGCAATCTTGGGTTTTCTGCTGCTAGTGGGTGCCTACGGCTTGGCATCTGCCTTCAATAAAGATGAGCTTGAGAGTTTGTGCCACACTGCAGCACAGGATGATAATGCATATCAGATTTGTCATGAACTCAGTGTTGCAGGTAAGACTTCTCGAAAGAATTCAAATCTGACCAGTCTTGTGTGTTATTTATTGTCGTGGAATATTAATGACATAGTGTGTTTTATTTTACCTTCTCAGGAGAACGTCCCCAGATTGAGAGATCTATTGATCCCTCTAAAACTGAACCTCTTTTCAACAATGTGGAAATGAAAGGCAGGGAATGCGATTTAATCTCTGGTTGTTCTTTAAGTTTTATTCATTGTGTATCAGATCCTGCAAAGCTTGTCTTGGATGCATTGCAGAAATGTCGTTCTGCCAACTTGGGGAAGTATAAATATGACCCATTAGTTATGAAGAGTTTTTCTGATTTGTTGGAGCATCTGAGAGACGTTTCTCCAGAAATAACACCACAGGTTAAAGTAGAGGCACTTGTGCTTTCTGTTGAGTGGCATGAAACATTGACCGGATCACAGCTGAATCCTTCAGAGGTCCTACGCTTTTTGCAACTTATAGCTACTTTTGAATTATCATCCTCTTATGATTCAGATGAGCTTCTAGGCCTATTGGAGATTGTTTACAAGTCTAGAAGAGCAATTAATCTGTTCAAAATCCTAGGGTTAAGAGATAAGGTCCCATGTATGCTCTCTCTCTCTCTCTCTCTCTCCCTCCCTCCCTCTCCCTCTCTCATGAATATGCACATACAGACCAAGCATGATATATTTTATTTTTTTTGATAACCGAGAAATCCGTCTGTGACCTGCCCTTTGGACCAATCACAGCCTTCTAAACTCGGTGGATAATGGGCCCGCCCCTCTACCCTTCTCCACTTAAATACCGGGCTTCGCTTTGCATGGTGTGGGGCTTGAACTTGCGACCTAAGTCACAAATCCTCCACCTTTTGCCACTCGAGCTAGGCCTTGGGGGCGCAAGCATGATATATTAGCTGCTGGTTATATGTTGGGTTTCTATTTTTCAACTTTATTCAGCTCTCACAAAGCATGAGCATGACTGTTATCTTTTGATTGACCACTTTGTGTTCTTATGGCCTTTTTGGATGTTTTGTCTATGGTAAATAGTTTGATCATCTTTTGTTCTTTCAAATTTTATTGGGAGAGAGTGGATGATTTCATCAAAGGTATTGGATTAGCATTGATGTTCTAAGAGGATCTTCGACAATATGCACAATTATGGTCTTCTTTATTTGGAAGTACAAAGTGATACCTTTTGACTGGACCTTCACACAGCAACTTTTTTAGTTGTCTGTCATTGTCCTTTCCATTATTTCTTTGCAGTACACTTGGGCAACCTTCTGAAGTTCTAATCAGAGTGCAGAAAGTATAGTTACTTGATATCAATTTTAATTGGTGATGAATTGTGTTCATTTTTGTGTGCATATGTATTAATTTTTTATTTTACAATTTTTGGTTATTGTGAGACCTTAGGTGCTATCTTCTATTAGGATTCATTATTTTGGATAGAGGGTGTCATTAGCCTCTGCTACTGTTGATACATGGGTCTTTGTGCTGAACTTATTTCATCTACCTTATCTTTCCTATACACTGAAGCATAAAATCTCCAGCTATATATGCTACAACTAATTATTTTCCATCTCAATCTACTTGACAGGTAGGAACTAAGGTTAGATGTAGACTGGTTTAATTTGTCGTACTCAGGAGTCTCGAGGAATAGGAATGGAGTAGGCATTTTAGTAGACATACAATGTGATAGAAGTCTGTGTAAGGACTGTAAGTTTATCCGAGTGAGTATCTTACAACTCAACATAAGCTCTTGACAAGGGATTTAGAGATTAAGAGCAAGCGGAAGAAAAGAAGTTTATATGATCTACTGAGGATCAAATGGGGTGGCTTGACTACTGCCAGTGCTCAGGAGATGGGGGAGTAGTTGATGGCGATGGGGCTTAGGGGAGTAGTGGGGATGCAAACAGTATGTGGGATAGGACAACCAATTTCATTAGGAAAGTAGCTAGTGAGGTGTTGGGAGTTTCGAGGGGTAATATGGGTGTAGATCTAGGGGATTAGTGGTGGAATAGGGCGGTCCCGGGGAAAGTAAAAGTCAAGAAGGCTGCTTTTATGAAATGGGTGGAAAGCAAAGACGAGGAGGAAAAGCGGGTTAATAGTGAGAGGTATTAGGTGGTGAATAAGGAAGCGAGGTTAGGTTACAACAGCTAAAATGACAACTTTGAACGCTTGTATGAAGAACTACAGGACAAAGGTGGGGATAGGAAGTTGTATAGGCTCACCAAGGTGAGAGAAGGGTCCGAGACCTGGACCAAATGAAGTGCATCAAAGATGAGGAAATCAATGTACTGGAGGAAGAGGCACACAATCGATGAAGATGACATGCATATTTTCATAAACTCTTGAACGAATAAGGAGAAAATATTGTGTTGGGTAATTTAGAGCACTCTGAAATTGTCGAGATTTTGGGTATTGTAGGGGTATAAAGATTTAGGAGGTTAAGGAAGTTATTTGTAAGATGAGAAGGGGGAGGGTGATTGGGCCAACTGAGATTCTGGTGGAATTTTGGAAGAGTGCAAGCAAGGCAGGTATGGAGGGGCTAATTGAGTTGTTTAATGTAACTTTTTAGGATGTCAAAAATGTCCGAAGAATGAAGGCGGAGTACAATGATTATGTTGTACTAGAACGATGGTGATATTCATAATGTAACTACTATAGGGGTATTAAGCTGCTAAGCCATACTATCTAAGTTTGAGAGAGAATGGTGGAGAAGAGGTTGAGGAGGGTGTGTCTATTTTTGAGAATCAATTTGGATTCATGTCGGGGTGATCAACTACAAAAGTCATTCATCTCATAATGAGATTGGCGGAGCAATATAGGAAAAGGAAGAGGGACTTACATATGGTGTTCATTGACTTACAAAAAGCATATGACAAAGTCCCTAAGGGCGTTAATGGAGATTTTGGATGTATAGGAGTCGTACGGCATACACTAGGACGATTAAGGATATGTACAATGGAGCCACGATTTGGATGAGGACACTGCAAGGACACTTGGAACACTTCCCATTCGTGATAGGGTTAAACCAGAGATCAACTCTTAGCCCATTTTTATTTTGCCTTGGTGATGGATGAACTAATCAACAAATCTAATAAAGGGAGGGCCATGATATCTGTTATTTGCAAATACATAGTATTAATTGACGAGACACGCGGCACAGTTAACAATAGACGGGAGTTTTGGAGACAGACCTTGGAGTTTGAAGGGTTTGGTTGAACATGTTTAAGACAGAGTAATTGGAGTGCAAGTTCAGTGACGTGACGCACAAGGTAGATATGGAAGTGAGGATTGATACACAAGTTACCTCCAAGAGAGAAAGTATCAAGTATCTTAGGTCAATAATTCAAGGAAATGCTTTGTCAAAAAAATTCAAGGAAATGGAGAGATTGATGATGATGTTACACCTCATGTTGGAGCAAGGTGGATGATTGAGACTCGCATTCAGTGCCTTGTTTGATACGAATGTATCAGCAAGATTTAAAAGGTAAGTTTTATAAAGTGGTTGTTAGACCATCTATGTTATACAGGGTGTTGTGTTGACTAGTCAGGAACTCGCACATCCTGACGATGAAAGTAGTGAAAATGAAGATGTTGAGATGGATGTGTGAGAATACTATGAGAGATAAGATTAGAAATGAAGATATTCGTGACAAGATGGGAGGCTTTGGTGATGGACACGATGAGGAAAGCAAAGTTGGGATAGTTCGGACATGTGAAGAAAAATGCAAAGATGCCCCAAGGAGGAGGTGATGGATGAGTTTGAAGAGAGGTAGAGTTGGGCAACAGAAATGTTGGGAGAGGTGATTAGAAAGGACATGACACCTGCAACTTATCGAGGACTTGATCCTAGATAAGAGGATATGGAGGTCAAGGATTAGGGTAGAAGGTTAGTAGGTAGTCAAACGTTGTTTAGTTGTTATTATTATTATTATTATTACGCTCTTACTATTTTATTCTTCGACTTTTGTATTACCTTTTGTTTCATTTTTCTTCAGTTATCATATTATTTGTTGTGGTTACTATTATTTTATCTATTATTTTCATCATGGCTTCTTCACTACTATAGTTCCTTTTTAAACCTGTTTTACTATGCTTTACTTGGGTCGAGGGTGTATGAGAAACAACCTCTCTACCTCACAAAGGTAGTTAAGGTCTACGTACACATCACTCTCCCTAGACCCCACTTATGGGATTACATTGGGTATGTTATTGTTGTTATTGTCATTCTACTTGACACTTAAATTGATGTTGGAGATTATCTTCCTCTACCAAAGTCGCACTTATACTATCAAAAACCATTTTGTACAACTGACTTCTCATATAATTTTTTTTATAGGCTTTATTGAGAAGCTGATAATGAGAAAACAATGGCTGCTGGCTATTAGGTACATCTATGTGTATAAACGTGTTCACTTGTTTCCACCTGTGCCTCTCCTTAAGGACTATGTGCTAAACGCAGAAGAGCTGGCTAAGAAAATACATGATGAGGGACTCGGTTCTCGTGAGGCCAAAGTAAGTACTCTTCTCTTTTATATCTTGAACTATCAAGTTTTGGTTCTGTGCTCATAATGTATCAAGCTTGCTCACAGGAAAAGGCTATAAATCGTGAAATATCTGCATTGAGAGCTGCAATTAAATGCATTCTGCGTCACAGCCTTCAATCAGAATACTCACCTGACCTTCTTCGAGCTCGTATTGCGAAGCTTCAAAGGCAGATGGCAGACCTAAGGATCCCAAACCAACACTCAGGCAAAGACAGAGATGTAGGAATTCTCTGCGCTCCAATTTCTCTTGCTGCCGCAAAAAAGCGTCTTGCCTCAGCTACTGAAGGTGTTACTGTACATGAGTCCCAACAGCAACAGCGAAAACTTAAGCGCTTCTGCCAGTTACCAACGCAGACAGAAGTTGGTCAAGAGTCTATCATTTGCAATGCTTCTCTGTCATCTGATGTGCAATCATCTTCTCAACCCACATCTGCAGATGCTCAATCACCAAACTACTCAAAAGATGTGTTTTCTCAGCCTTCAGATGACCAGATTTGTGATTCTGGACAACCATCTTCCCAGCTAATTGGTAGTTCACATGCTTATGATGACGCCAAGGTTGAAACTAGAGAACCGGACCTTCCAGTACAAGCATCGTGTCATGCAGCTGATAGTGGAAAGTTGAGGAGTCATAGTGATCACTCCGTGATCGATTATAGTGTGCCACAATCCCTGTCGCCCCAAATAGACCCATTTTATCATCCTGGGGGAAATCTGATGCCAAATCTTCAGGAGCTACTTAACAAGCTGATGAATTCTTTGCCCAGCTCAGGGAAAAGTGAAATAGGACCTAGTAAGAAGAGTTAGGTAGCAACTCTATTCAATTCTTCTCTTTATTTATACAAAAAAGATCAGTAACTATTTTAGGGACGGCCCAGCCGGGGGCTTCTGCAACACCCCATTGCTAAGCCCATTATGTATTGCCTTTGATACTTAACAAATCTCGACTCCTTTATATTTGGGGTCCCGTCCCTAGACGACTTGAGTAAAGGGGGAATCCAATAGCAACTGGTCTGTAGTGGTAGAACCTTGTTAAACTGAGGCTAACTAAAATGTTCTACCTGTTGTAAGTGTGCCACAATCTTTGTTGCAGATAAACCCCTCTTATTATCCGTTCCAAACCCTTAAGGGTCGTTTGGTAGCTAGTTAGAGTTATGCATGTATTAGTATGTAGGGATAAGTTGCAACTCAATCTATGTATTATTTTATGCATGTACTAGTTATGTAGGGGTTAGTTATATATATAAATATATATTAGTTATTCCACGCACAAAGTAATATGCCTCATAACTTATACATGTATTTTAGTTATGTGGGTTTCTAAATTGTCAACATAATATAATATTAATTTAATACATAAATAACTTATTTCCTATCTACCTATCAAACATCGTACAGGTTATATGGAAATTAATACATGAATAATTTATTTCTTACCTAGCTACCAAATAATTTTTTATTAACTAAAAGACTTCACTAAAAAAAAAAAGTCCTTAAATGCTGTTGGATGGAAAGATCTTCAAAATGTGGATGGATTTTTCTGTCCTTTGAAAGCTAACATATTTCTTTAATGAAGTAATTCTATGTTGAATATAATAGAATATTTAAGTATCACAAATAAGTAGGTCATTGAATTCAATTAATTTTAAAATAAATTTGATGAAATATAATTCTTTTTGGACTTAAATTAGTCAATAAACGTAGCTTTGGTGTTATGCCTATATATTAAAAGAGGTTAAAAGAGTTGTTTTCAATTTGAGTGGAGATAGTGCAAGTGATTATAATGGTTTCATAGGCCTTTTTAACCAAAGTTGTTGGGATATATTAGGGACAAATTTATAAAAGTCTGTTCATGTTTTTTTCTTTGTTTACTTTTATCAAATCCTTTACTCATACTAATCTGGTTTTACTAGCTAAGAAATCTATCATTCACTCTTTTCCAAATCTCAAATCTATTAGAATGAGTAACTTTATAAATAAGGCATCTCTAGAGTTGTTCATGATAGATTGAAGTTGGTGGTATCAAGATTAATCTCTGCCAATTAATTAGGCTTTGTGAAGGGGAGAAATATAATTGAAAATCTTTTACTCACTCAAAAAATTGCTTAAGACATAACAATAAAGGGGAAACAAGCCAATGTCATTATTAAGCTTGATACGAAAAAGGCTTATGATAGGATATCTTGATTCTATTTGATGAAAGTTCTTCAAAAGATGAAATTTTTCAGAAGTATTTAATGATATTATCTGGTGGCTTATAGCAAATAACTGATATTTGTTAGGAATTTGCTTTTTCAACTGCAGTTAATTTTACTTTTACTGTTTTATATTAGATAAGACTTAGTCAATTAGTTGTTAGCCATCTATTCCTATTATTTAGGAGTAAAATAGTGAGTTAGGAATATGCTAGTAGTGGGTTTACTGCTTTCTGTTTTTCATTCAGGTAATCTGAAGACATCAATAAAAATGTTCGTCTACCAATATTCTTCTTGACTTCTCTGCTTTCTAATAACTCATACTACTAAAATTTACCAACAATTGGTATCTAGAGCTTTTTTATCTTGCGGGATCTGTGGGTATTTCTGTGAGTGATTGTTTCAAGTGACTCAAGCGCCACAACTAGAAACAGCAAAAGATTAAAAATGGAAGAAAGCTCAAGTTTCTCAACAATGGCACCTCCTGTCTTCAATGGTGAAAATTTTCACATGTGGGCAGTGAGGATGGAAGCTTATCTCGAAGCTTTAGATCTTTGGGAGGCAATCGAGGAAGACTATGAAGTTCTTCCGCTACCCGAAAACCCAACAATGGCTCAACTCAAAAATCACAAGGACAAGAAAACCAGAAAATTTAAGGCAAATGCATGTCTTTTTTCAACAGTCTCTTCAACAATTTTCACTCGTATCATGTCTCTAAAATTAGCAAAAGCCATCTGGGATTATTTCAAGGCAGAATATGAAGGAGATGATCATATCAAAGGTATGCAAGTGCTAAATCTCATTAGAAACTTTGAGTTATAGAAGATGAAAGAATCGAAAACCGTCAAAGAATACTCTGTCAAGCTTATGAGCATAGCAAACAGAGTAAGATTACTTGGTTCTGAGTTTAAAGAATCGCGTATTGTTGAAAAGATTCTGGTTACTGTACCTGAAAGATTTGAATCCACCATTACCACTTTGGAGAACACCAAGGATCTGTCAAAAATCACTTTGGCGGAATTATTGAATTCCTTGCAGGCTCAA